CAATGTTTGTAAACAATACTACAATGGGTGTAAAATTACTGCAATGTTTGTAAACAATACTACAATGGGTGTAAAATTACTACAATGTTTGTAAAAATACTACAATGAGTGTAAAATTACTACAATGTTTGTAAAAATACTACAATGGGTGTAAAAGTAAACAATATCAATTTTTTTTATGTTTTCCTCTTGTGCTGTCTATAGATACTGCTATTTTGATATAGAAATATTCCACTTTTCAAACTAATGGCATCATTCTAAAATTGTAGATGAAACATGCGGCATATTTTGTAAGTTAATTATGTTAATTGATCAAAGTTGATCAATTTTGAACATGTTATAATTACATAGGTCAACAAAAAGTTTTAATTTCTGAAAATTGTGTCATTGGGCAATTTTGCAGCTGGGCAAATGGACAATTGTCATTATTTTAACGTAGTACTACTTAATTATATTCACTTGATTTCATTTTTGCGCATTAATTTATGCTCGACAGTACATCTTTGTAGTTTGCACTAAGTTCTGCAATCGATATTTTGATTTCGAAAAAGTAGATGCCACATTTGTGTATAATACGAAAAACATGAAGATAAAAATGAAGCAAACAATGCAGTTCTGTCGACTCTTTTAAAATAGGCTAATGGCTTTTTTTTATTCCATTGCCATATTAAAGGCTTCGACAATAAATACGTACCCATAGTAAGACAAGTTAACTAAAAATAATTTTGAATTATTTTGAATGAATTCAAATCATTAACATAAGTCTGAAAGGGTTTGAGTAAAACGTAATGCATCGAATATGTCTGCGATCATATGACGTCCGTGGATTGCCTCAACAATTTACTTGGTGTAGAAAGTTGTATTACTACATAATCGTCGATCAATTGATCAATTGATTACCATTGCCTTTATAATTTGAAACATATACGAAAACTCGACATGTTTTAGAAAACTCTGTACCAGGACCATAGACCATAAAATTTTTATAAAAAATTAAGACAATACTATAATTGATTTTTTTTTCAAATTCTCATTTTATCAACTCATTTTTTAAATGTATAATTAATTTTAAAAAAATTGCATTTTGCATTCAATTTTTTGCATGAAAAATCAAATAAATAAATTTAGGTATTTCTTTTTATGATGTCTTTATTTCCTTTTTTATGATGTCTTTATTTCCTTTTTATGATGTCCAGCAAAATTAGTCTTTGTAACATAAGTTGCCTTCCTTGTAATTTTTAAATTTGCATCTAATATAAATGATTATTTGAAATATGCTCTAAATATATAATTATAATTTCAATTTAAATGTATTGTAATTTAAAACAACATATGAATTTGGGCCGGCTGAATACGTTCTTAAGGGGGTCTTTTTATGTGACGGCCTGTTTTTTAGGGATATTTTAGATTTTTTTTCTACGACCAGTAAATATTTAGAGCTTCAAGTTTTTTATCATTTATTAACACATATTTGGACAGTATAAATATAAAATTTCAGCTAAAAATATTCAGTCAAACTAGAGTTACTGCGCTTTGAACACCCCCGACTCGAAAAAAAGAGCTCCCACTTTCTCCACGATTCCGGCTGATCGGCTTATCTTAAAAAAAAAAATAAACTGCGTTTTAATTTGTAGGCTTAAAAGCACGGAATGACCTATAATCAAATGAATATAAAAAAAAATGGATTTTTGATAGACATTTGAAATAAAAGTTGCAAATTAGGCGTTTTTTTGTTTGTTTTTTGCTATAAAAAATCGAAGTTTTGAAGATTTTCGATTGATAATAGTTTATTCCATGCGTTTAAATATATTGAGTGTGCCCTGTAAATTTCAAGTAATTCGGTCCAGCCGTTTCTGAGATACAATGGAGGAAAGTTTTAAAAACACAGTTCTGAGAAAAACACGTTTAAAGATAAAATGATCTTTGTACTATATACTATATGTATACTTTTTAAATGGCTGTAACTCAAAAACTATTTGAGATATCGATTTGAAATTTTAATATGTTATTTTTAAAGGTGTAATCTACCGAAATATGGAAAAAACAAATTCGATTTTTTCAACTGATCACATAGGAAGACCCCCTTAATTGTGAGAGCTTGCAGATCTTGGTTCAACTGCCATTTGGGGGTGTTTGCAGTTTGTTTTAAAATATAATTTTTTGCCTCATCTCAGAATTTAATACCGTACGTTTAGATAGTCTCGATAATAGTCTCATAAATTACAAGTTTATTAGCTCTAGAAACTTGTGAGTTCCAGCCATAAGGCATTTAGTTACATTAGGTGCATGAACCAGCTCTCCATTTAATTTGGGTATGAACCTTGGCGGTACTGATATAAGCAAAAATTCAAAGACTTGAAATTTTGACAGAGAACCAGGAAATTTTAGCTCAACATGATGATTAAACACGCGTCTCCGAAAACTTACAAAAAACACGTGATTCAAATAGAAAAATGGTTAAATCTGTGGAAAATAGAAGTAAACACTAATAAAAGAAAAGTTGACATATTGATTTACTGGTCGAGTAGTCTTTAGATTCTGACGACATTTAATAGGCCTATTTTTTGCTAAAATGTTGTGAATTATAATAGGCCTAAAATAATCGAATGCTGCCATAGAAGAATTTTGGGCTTTTTTTCTATAATTACAATACGGCCACAATGCAGTTGAAAAATAAATTTGAATATTGGTCCACAAGTAGATGAACTATTCAATTCCATCAGGAAAGCGATATTAATTATGCAACTTCTCTAGCTTTGAAAAAGAATCACTTAATTTCTTAGAAATCCGTCGACCTAACTGGGCACAGTTTTACTGGGTTACTGAGAAACATCAGTGTTATTTTTGTGTTTGTTGGTAAATTATGATTCTGCTGTTCGTTTGTGTGTTTGTACATTTGTTAATAAAGATTTCATTGAGAATTGCTTCCAAAGGCATAGCTTTTTGACAATATCAAAAGAACAGCTTCAAACTCAGATACAGGACATAATTACTAAATAGTGCATTGACAAATTAGTCTAATCATATTACACTTGAGGACAGAGATCAGCTGTAGGAAATTGTGTAAAAAATGGTCATTTTTTGATTGCACGATCATCATTGATCATCAATTTTGCACGATATGATCATCTGTTAATAGGTGATAGACGATGTAATGAAGTAACACTATAATGCATTATTAACTAAATTTCACGAAATATTTATATTAATAAAATAAAAATTGTAGAAAATATTCCAGTAGATTAGGTGTGATGTATATATTTAAACCGGCAGTGGGTTTGTTGATTAATATTTCGATTTGATTTGATTGTTAACTTCTCGAAGGAGTTCATGTTTTCATCAAAAAATCCGACTCGCTAATTTTATGTTTTCTCGACGTTTCATGCTATTCTGAATCAAATGAGACCACATTTGGAAAAAGTATGTGTGTGTGTGTGTGTGTGTGAACAGATTTTTTGCCGTAAATCGACGTTTTCTCCAAAACGGATGGACCGATTTCAAAAATTTAAAAGCCGATCGATGTGTCCCGATGAGGACTAGCGTTTCTTAGTTTTGTGCGACGATCGGTCGGACCGTTTCTTTGTAAATTGCAGAAAAGTGAAAAGTTTTTCGTCCACGTTTTAGCCCGCAATTCTGAATCGATTTTGAAAATTCAAAAACTGTTCGAAAGATATTGGTTGGGAATCGTGCTGATTAGTTTTTGGTAAAGATCGGCCGGGCCGTTTTCTTGTAATAAAGTTTTTAAAAAAAAAAATTCGACGATTTTTATGATTTTTTTTTTGACGGTAGATACCATAGTCTTCTAGATCATGCTAAAATATTACGGCGCTGCGACAAGCCGTTTAATTTTGAAAATTCTTCAAAGTTTGCAAAAATTACTATCGTTTTTGGCATTTGTCAAAGTTAGACCTTTGATCGACGTTTTCTCAAAAACGCTTGAACCGATTTCAGGGGTTTAAAAGCCATTTGATGTATCTCAATGAGGACTATTGTTTGTCAGTTTTGTGAGACGATCTGCCGAGCCATTTCTTTGTAATTTGAAAAAATGTGTTAAACTTTTCGTCCACATTTAACCTCAAACTATCGAACCGATTTTAAAAAATCAAAAACTGTTCGAAGGATATTAGTTGGGAATGATACTAGTTTTAACTCTATTAACTGTTGAAAAAAAAAATTAAGCCGATTTTTATGGAACTTTTTTTGGCGATATATATCATAGTCTTGTAGAACTTACTGAATTATTACGGCCTTATGACAAGTAGTTTAATTTTAAAAATTCATCAAAGTTTGAGAAAATGAGTGTTTTTTGAAATTTGTTAAAATTAAAATTAGACATTATATAACTTGGTATAACGATAGAGTACTCGGTCTTAATGAACATACCGAACCATTAAAGTCCTATGGAAACTGGTTCAATTATAAAAATTATTGATTTTTGAAAATTTGCTTTTAGAAAATACTCCGAGTTAACGTGATTGTTCGTTTTCAAATGTGTGTAATAATTCCACACGGAATACTTTCAACTACTCATAAATTAATTTATCTATTATGGATTAAGTCGATTATTTACACATATCGGGAAGTTCATGTAACTTGCCTCAAGGCTAAATACCAAACCAACTAGTTTATTTATTATAATATATCACTGTATAGTATATTTTTGTTATTTATTGTGTTATTACAAAACATACGATTTTAATGCCAAATTTAATTACAAATACGCGATTATAAAATTCATTAATTTTCATTTCAAATTTTGCGCCATTAATTTGAATGTCAAAAGCAGCGCCCTCATATCCATGGCCCACGTCTATTGTGTATTGCCCGCTGTCCATGTAATTGTACCATTGAACTCATCTTTATTTCTCCACTGGCAATACACGCGTCAAATTTATTCTGTTGGCAATACAAAATGCTTTCACAGACGCCATTGTTGACATATCTGGCTCGACTGGAAGGCTTTTACTAGAAGCGTTTCCTTATTGTGCCGCGTCAATAGACGGATTTTTGTTACATATTGTTTTAGCTGAAATCGAATTATCATAATTGTTTCTCTCGTACAATTCATAAGCTGATTCTTCTCCTGGCATCTGATTGTGAGATTTGTGACAATGACGGCTCAAGATCAGATGAGAGCCATGCTGGACGAATTAATGGGCACAGGCCGGAATGGTATGTAGTTCTTTTATCATTCTATAATGGTGTCCTATTTAAATGACACTTTATTTTGAATATTAAATAAGTATAGAACCATATTGTTTTACAGTGAGTTTTAAATTACAGTTGTCAGAATGGTCAGAATAATTCATTAAAGGCAATCATGATGCTATTTAGTTTCTTCCAAAGCCTTCAAATGTTTACTCAAGATATGTCAATTTATTGTCATACCTAAAATTTAATTATTACTCTTTATTTCACAAATCTTTGTTTTTTTTTTACTTTATTTTTCTTATATATACAATATCATTTGATTTTATTGCTATTAACATACAAAAATAATAGGTTATAAATTTCTATCCAATGCAAAAGTAATTTTCTGTGAAAATATTTATTTTGAGTAAATAACTATAGATGAAAATGGAAGTTTGTCCATTTTATTTTGTTGCAGTGCATTCAACCTTTATTTTGGTTTTTATACCTTTTTAACAAATATTTGCATATTTTAGGCGAGAACAGTAAATACCAAGTAAAATTTACGGATCCAAAAGTTTGCAAGAGTTTTCTACTTGCTTGCTGTCCTCATGAAATTCTCTCATCTACGGTAAGATATATCTTCAATCCTTACTTCATAATCGCATTATCATAAAGCAGAAAAAAGAAAAGTTACAATATTCCAGTTGACACATTAGAGAATAATAATGAAATTAACTTTTTGTTTTGAAAACGATGTGCCTCCACAACTAATTCTAGACAATGTGTTTTCAGAGACTACAAATATTCTTGTACATTAAACGGGCTTTTCCTAAATCTACATGACTAATAAAATCAAAGATTAAAATGTGTTTATCTCTATCGTGTCATTCATAAATCTGTAAGTAGAGAATAGAAATCCGTACGTATTAACATAATAGAATATCTTTTAATGCTCTAGTATATTTACAATGGATATTAATTGTTGTGTATCAGCATTGGCAGATTTCTTTTTCATGAAAGTTTAACATTAAGCATTCTTACTGTTACTGCCAATGCTGCATCACTAGTCATATCTCATTAGGTTGAAATAATTGAAGCTTCACGATTAACAAAGATTTTGTAATATGAAGCATGAATATATGAAATAGTATATTTCCAATCTTTGCCCTTTAATGACATATTATGCAACAATTTTTAATACTTAATATATACACATGTTGAACATCTGCATACTAAGATATTTTAGTATTTACAGTTTATTATAAACTGCGAAAGTTATTTAAATTTAATGAACTTTTATAATTCTGTTGTTTTGTGGTAAAATCTGTCTGCAAGTTAAATTGAGTAAATTGTATAAATATTTCAACTATCTAAGCATCAATTGAGTACATTCAATCTTGATTATTTTTTTAAATTTTGTAATATTTTATGATTTTTAAAATATTCATAAATTTCTAGTAATAGTAAAACTCTTACATCTTATGAATAATTATCTGTTGTAATATCACACCAAATTTAATTAGCATTGAAATGAACCACCTTTTTATTATAAATCATTTACATAATCAATCCAACGATCAATTTAAAAACATTTTATGGTTAATTGATTTGCAGATCAATAATTATGTTTTATGCCATGTAAAACTAAAATATAATGGTGTATTCATGTAGTATGTTATTTACATATTTTTATACATGTGCATATTTTTTATATCAAAACCTTTTAGTAAGAATCAATTTTTTATACTTATGTTCCTTTTACATTTAATTTATATTAAGACTCTTACCTATTTATATATTTGAGTATGTGTGGTTGTTTTTAATTCTTTGTGTTGTAAACTAAGTTAACATACTTAAATATTTATATTTATGTACTTGGAGGAGTAAATGTAATATGTTCATCAAAGTGCATTTATCTTAATGCATTGATTTAAGGCAAATGTGAGATTATGGAAGATAATTTTGTATATTAACATTGTAAGCTTCCCTTAGATGTAGCCTGCAAAATTGGTGATCAACGAAGTGTGATGTCTGCTCACTCAGGGTGTTGTAGGGTGCAGTGCTCGTAAGTGACTTGACATGAAAAATTAATCAACGGAAAACTGATCAGATTTTTTGTCTGCAATATCAATTGTTAATATTGTATTATACAACCCCATTATATTTATATTTGACAACTATTGGTTGAATTAGTTAATGAAAATTAAGATCAACTGCATCATGCACTTCTGGTTTAGAAGACTTAGTATTTATTTTTATTTTATTTATGAAAATTTAACTCACTTATGTAAAATTTGTTGTATATTAAGAATTGTAATTTTCAATTTGCTGTAAATTTTCATGTGATTTCACTCTATTATTTAAAATCTTTTGATGATTGCTTTAGGTAATTAGTTAAAATAATAATAAAATTTGTTCTTTTCAGTTTTAAAATTTATAATTCGATAAAAATGATTCATTACAACCTATTTTTACATGGCCATTCTGCATTATTCAAATAAGAATGCATTTGATGACTCTTTAATATAATAATTAGGTTTTTTTTTTATTTTGATCATCTTGATTCTACATTAATCTGTATTTGGCTCATAGTTGTCAATATCATAATTTTTTTTTATTTATTATTAATCGAAATCTGTATGTTATGAATTACACTTGCAATTTTTATGATTTTATATATATGAAAGAAAAGGTTATTTTGAAAGGTACTCTGCGTTGTGGTTTCTAAATTTTTTTTTTTTCATCTATGGTCAGGAATGAGTTGAAATTGTGATGCTCTTCTCATATTCTATGTCTTTACAGAGGATGGATCTTGGTGAGTGCCCAAAAATTCATGATCTTGCATTAAGAGCTGATTATGAAAAAGCTGCAAAAGATCGTGATGATGCATATGATATCGATGATGTAAGTAGTGTTTTAACAATAATTATTTTATAAATACATTCACAATATGTATCTATTTCTAAAAACATTCTTAAAGTTAGTTATGAATACAAGATGCAAGTTCAATAATATTTACAGAATTTAGTCATTTCAATTTCTATTACTTGTCATTGGACAAGTATTTATTATTACCTTTAATTATCTCGCAATATAAAATTCAAGGCTATGGAACATTTGGCTTCATTCATTGGAGACTGTGATAGGCGTACAGAAGGGGCCAAACTTCGATTGGCAGAAACTCAAGAGGAATTGACGGCGGAGGTGGCCATTATAGCAAACTCTGTACATGAAGTTGCAGAAGAAATAGGAAAGAAGCTGGCTAAGGCAGAAGCTCTTGGGGAAGAAGGATTTGTTGAAGAAAGTATGAAACTCATGGAAGAAGTAAGTTGTAATAATTGTCAAAGGCTCCAAGGTACTGTTAAATTTAACCACTTAATTATTTTTGATCAATATATTGAGGTGCACTTTATAATTTTGATACTGTTAAGTGTTAATCCATTAGTCAATTTACTTTTACTGGTTTTCAAAAAAGTAAAGTTATTAAATTTTTTTAACATTACAGATTAAATAGCTCGGATTTTCGGATTGACTTTTCCATATATATATTTAGATTTTAAGGACCACCCTAATTTATATATAAATATATATATATATATATATAATATATATATATATATAATATATTTATTAAATTATTAATTTGAAAATACTATTTGTAAGCTTTGTTTTACTTCTTGGGTATTAAACCGCTCGCGGCACGCAAAATAACTATATTTTAATTTTTTTTATTTGAATTTTCAATATTATATTTGAAATAACATTTCAAAGTGCCCATCATAACGGATTTAAAAATATAGATTTTGTTTGTTTGGCGCACTTTAAACAAAATCGTTGAATTTCAACGAAAACAAAAACGGATAGCAATTTGTTAATAATTGATGAACAAATTAACATATAGAAGGTCCGCTATGATAGGCACTTAAAATGTAATTTTAAATATACTGTAAAAAAAAAAATTCGAATGAAAACGTCGCTTTGTAAATCTTGTTTCGAAAAAACGAGTTATAGATAAGAAAAAATTTAAAAATGACATTTATAATTACAAAAATTGCGGTGCCAATATTAATCACCAATACTATTATCATTTATAAAATATTGCTTAGACCATAGTTGAAATTATCCACCGCAGCAATATCGCGGAAATAGGCCAACCCTTATGTGTTGAATCTGCACTGATCATATATTTGTTAAAAATTATTTTAC